TGTTTGGCTCCGATTTGGCCATAGGGAGGTTCGGCATCAAAAAACGAGCCAATGGGAGAAATTTTACCTCGTTTGGTGGCCGAAAAGTCGTCTAGTGCGGCGGCGGGTGGCGGCAGCCGGTTCCTCCGGTGGCTGGGTCGTCTTCTCCGTCGAGAGTTCTGGCGGCTAGGGTTTGGGGTTGTAAACATAACAGTAGGTTATGTGTGTATATACAAAATATATATAATATATACACTTACAAAAAATATCACTAAAAAATGAGAAACTTAATTTGAGCATTAAGAAATAAAAACTAACTAATCAATCAATTTTTTTTTATTTTACAAATATGTTATTAGGCAGTGGAAGATGGTGGCAGGAAACGACAACGGTGGGTGACAAGAACAATGGGCAACAACTAACTGTAGTGGCTGAAGGCGGTAGTGGACAACGATAATGACATAAAATGCATGAATGGACAATGAAAATGCTAGTTAATGGCGATAGTGGACAATGACAATGGCCAGAAATGGCATCGACGATGACAGGTAATGCAATGGGGACAATGACGGTCATAGGTAATGGCAATAGTAATGGACAATCTTGATAGATGGTGGAGGGCGATATCGGATGATGATAGATGATGGTGGCAAAAGGCGATAATGGACAGTGGTAAACAATAACAACTGGAGACAAACTTCATCAAGAAGAGAAACTAACTGCATCAAGATTAAATGCTCCCCGAATTAATAGATTGAAAGCCAGTCATAACTGCAATTTTTACAATCTACTTATAAGATTTGGTGATAAAAAATATAATATATATATATATAAACTATGAATAAAGAAAACTTCCCTAATATTATTTAAAAACAACCTGAACCAAGACAAAGAAAAAGAATGTCTCATTACTATCTTGAAATTTAGGTAAGCATCATTTATTGTTGTCAAATGTACTCTTCCTAAATACTTTGCAACCTCTAACTCATAAATTAGGGGCATACATTCGCAATGTTAATTGTGGTTGGACTTGAAATATTTCTCATGCTTTAAAATATAACTCTGAAATATTTCTTATAATTAGAAGCATAATCTTTTTTTTAGAGTTCGTGAATGTCGATTCTTTGAATAATTCAACTATTTGAAGAAAAATTTATCTTTCAGCTGCTGAAGTAGATGAAATTATTTTTCTTAATATAAAGATGCATTATATAAACTATCCTATGCATTCCAAAATTCACAAATATCTTTCTTCATGAAATCAAGAAGCTTAGAAGCGGATAACTATCATTTTTAAGCATCCATTGCTTTTTCATCTATTATAATTCTCATAAAATCATCAAAACCTATATCTAAAAAATCCATAACATGTGAAAAACAGTGCCTTATACATATGGTCCACAAGATCGTAAAAGCAGTTAACACTTCCTAAATAAGTTAGTCATTGAGTCGCCCTATTCACTATACAATGAGCATATAAGAGCAAATATAATCCCTTTATACTTCATCATTGTCGTAAAAGGAAAGATTCACAAAAAGAATTCTATAAAGGTAAATCTTGAATTTCTTTCGCGAATCTTGAACAAAAATGGTTAAATTTTAGGAGAACAAGTACAGTACAAAAATATTTCATGAAAATGCATGAAAATATTGTTAACTAAAGGAATATGCCAAGATTGTGAATCTTATAAAACTAAGTCAGACGCAATAATTAGATAAATACAAGATTGTGATTTATAATTGTATTGACCAAATTCAATTGTTAGTTAAAGAGGTCAATAATTTATTACTAAATTATAAAAATTTGTTAATTTTTAATTTGCCAGCACAACTATGATTTTAAAAAAATCTCTCAAAGTCATAATATTTTTCCAAATAATCATGAGATCTATTTAAAATAAAATCATTTCAATATACCTTAAGAACCATATAAAGTAAATGCTTCAAACTTAAAGAAAACTCCAGACTTGCTAAGGTAACCAAGCCAAGTTAAAACTTCTTAAGTCTCTAAAACTAAAGTTATCGTCTTTCTTATTTAAATATAATTATTTTCAATTAAACAAGTGAATGCTATTATCATCTTTTTTAATTGATCATCATTTTTTTGGGTGAGTCACAACTATTTTGTATTAACAAAAATATTTACTCATTATTATAGTTATGACTTTCTACATGTGAAAATCATATTATATTTTTAGTTAAATAAGTAAATAATTATGCATTACTATACAAGTAGAAAGAAATATTATGCTTCCTTCACCTTAACATATAAAGTGTAAAAGATAACGATAAAAGAAATTAAAGAGCAAAAGCCTACATATGAGAGAATACAAAACGGTCTTCTCCCAAAGCTAAGTAAGAAAATGTGACACATCAAACTCACTTGATAAATCACAAGCCCAAATACTTAACATTTCGAGTTGGTAGCATTCATATTGTTTCTCTTTGTCAATCCTTTTCCAAATAAAAAACAACAAAGAGAAAAAAAAAAAAAGACAGACTTTCAACAACAAAACCTATTACGTTACAAATACTAAGGTAGTTGTGAAGCATTTTGATTCTTGACAAACCTATTACTTGTCGTCACGTGTAACGCCGTCACCCCGCCGTCACGTCTTTTCCCTCTTGTTTGAAGTTGCTTAGTCATATTATGTACTCGGATGTGGTCAGCAAATCAGGACATCCAGGAAATCCATTTCTGACCTGACACGTGTCATTACCAAAAAAATAATGTAAAAAATCCGGTATAAAATTTTGGCATCTATTTTCACCACCATCACCATTCAGCATCTTACATCTTTGATTCTTGGCATCTAAATGAGATCCCACTTGCCACTAGCCTCATCAACGGCTCACCTTTCATCTCTCCCTCTCTTACAAATCATTTATAAACCAGATAAACCCCCATACGAGAAGCGCAACCAACAACCAAAACCTCAGCAACAGGCTGCCTGATCAGATCCAAAGGGAGAGAGAAAGACAGAGAGAATCATGAACACTTTGGAATCTCGTCTTGAAGAGGTAGCTTTTAATTACGTGGGTCTTGGAGTTCTCAGCATAGTCAATAACCTGTGGACGTGGGTCGCCATTTTAACGGCCACCATAAGCTTCTGGAGGATCAAAGCAGGCGCCAGAGCATCCTCATGCTCCGTCAAATCTGAGGAGAAGCCAACTCGGGTTGACAGAAGAACAGTCGGGTCTGAACCGAATCTGGGGACATCGACGGATGAGGTTTCTTCTATTGCTTCTCCAGTTATGGCTGCGCCTATTATCCCGTCTGTTTGCAATGAGGAAATTACCAAGGGCAAGTTTATAATGTATTACGAGGATGAGGGAGAGAGCGATGGAGAGTTAACGGCGGTTAGAGAGTGGAGAAACAGAGAAGATGAGGGTTGTGGAGAGTGGTGGGAGGTATGGGAGAGAGTGTTGAGAATGAGAAGAGGAGAGGACTGGTACCGGTTTCTGGATTTGACGTTACTAAACGGCAACGTGGTGAGGCTGTGGGATGGGAATAGTAGCGCAGAATACCGGCCAAGGTCCTGTTTGTTTGGTAGATGATTAATAAGTTTAAAGCACTTTAATAGGAGCATAGTTTTTTTTTTCAAGATTTATTGTTAATGTATTGTGGAGGCTATTAATTGTACTAAACTCTGTCTCAGTTTCATATATTTCTTGATATCAAAAGGAAAATATTATATATATATATATATATGTATTTGAAGCATGATATATTAATATAAGCCAGATTGGCACCATCACAACTCCAACCTGAAACCTCCATTGCTTGATGAGTCTGGTCTAGCTTGATTTGGTTCCATCTTTGGAAGCCAGTGTTTATTCTCTTCCAAAATGGTTCTTAGCTAGTCTAGACCATTTCCGGATGTCGTTCGTTTTTTGGTTTTCTGCACCATATTTACACTCTAAAATCTCATTTCAGGTAAATTTTAAATATGGTGAATTAGATTTAAAAAATTTGCAATTACCAATGGAGTATAGTCTTGAAATTTTCTTTCTTAATTATGGGTAAGCATAACCAAAAATTAAAATTAAAGAAGATTAGAAGTTCTTAAAAAAATTTTAAAACCTAGTTTTGTTCTATTGAGATAAAATATCCATCATGCATCAATTAGGAAGAAGCAAACTCCTCCCTAAGTAGGGAACCCAAAAAATCAGAAGACTTCTAAAAGATAAAATCTACAAGCGGTGGAGTTTTTCGGGTGCGAAAGCTCTGTCGGCTCACCTTTACTGCTGAGCGTTTTTGTTTGGTCAACTTGTAAAAAACATAACGGTAAACACAATGGTGAAAAAATCGTACGAAATAAAAAATGTAAAATGGCTCATCAGAAGAGGGATCGAGTTTTGCCCACGGCGGCGCTGTCGAGCTTTGTCCGCAGTTTCCCGCTCACATATCATTCCTTTTGCTTCGATTTGGCCATAAGGCTCGGAATCAAGTTTTTAGCAGATATAAAAAATTTTACATTTTTTGGCGGTCGAAGGTGGCTTCGGTGCAGCAGCGGTCGGCAGTCGGCTCCCTTCTCCGACGACTACTTCTTTTTCTCTGGCGGGAAGCTAACGGGTAGGGTTTGGGTCAGTGTGATGCGAAATATTTATAATCTTCTCGTGTTAATTTGGACCATTCATCGCGTTTGATCTCGATCGTCCGATTACGTTTAAAGAGGAAATAAATCTGAACCGTTCATCGCGATTTGTTCTCGACTATCCGATCGCGTTTAAATGAAGAATAAATTTGGATTGTCCACACGCGCAAGATCGATCTTGGGCCGTTCGATCATGGGGCATGCGGATCGCCCGTGTGGCATCCTGCATCAGTGCGCCTTGCCATGCGGCGTACTCCGGTCCGTCGGGGTTGCTGATTGGGCGGTCCTACGTGACAAAATTCTTTTTATTTGTACTATAACCCTTAGTTTTTTATTTTTCTTTCAAAAACATCCCATGGATCCAAATTTTTATCTATTTTTTTTAAAATTATTTTTAATTTCATCCATAACCTATTTTTTTTCATAATTCAACAAAAAATTAAAATAAATTAATTTAAAAATAATTTTTTTATATATTTAAAATGTTAAAATTAATTTCGGACCGAATTTCGAGTCTGAGTATTATAGGTATTTAGACAAGGTAAATTACAAATTTAACCATAACATTGTAATTAATTACAATTTTAGTTGGTGATATGCATAAGTGAAAATAAAGTTTACCATGTTTGTTTTGTGAATAATCTCTATTCAAATTTTAGTGTAAGCTGAAAAATTAATATATTTGAAGAGAAAAGAGAACAATGCAGAATTAAGAGGAAAGAAGAGCTCGGACTATCTGAATTTGAAAAAATTAGAAGATTGATTTATTCATAAACAATAGTTGGGTATTTATATAAGAAAATTGACTAATAAATTTAACCATAACATTGTAGGTAATTACAAATTTACTTGTTGACATGCATTAGTGGAAATAAAATTTACCACGGTTAATTTTGTAAATAATCACCATTCAGATTTCAGTTTAAACTGAAAAAGTAATGGATTTGAAGAGAAGAGAGGTAAAGTACAGTTGAGAGAAAAATGAGAGCTTCACTCTCTAAATATTGAAAATGAGAAGATTGATTTATTAATGAACAATAGATAATTATTTATATAAGAGAATTAAATCACAAATTTAACCCTAACATTGTAGGTAATTATAATTTTACTTGTTGACCTGGGTAAGTGGAAATGATATTTACCATGTTGATTTTGTGACTAATCTCCATTCAGATTTCAATTTAAGCTAAAAAAAAAAAATTAATGGATTTGAAGCGCAAAGAGGAAAATGCAGAGTTGAGAGATAAGGAGAAAAATGAGGAGATTGATTTATTAATGAACAACAGATGGATACTTGTACAAGAAAGCTAAATTACAAATTTAACCCTCCCTAACATTGTAAATAATTAAAATTTTATTTGCATCAGTGGTTTGTTTTGTGAATAATATCCATTCAATTTTCAATTTAAGCTAAAAAAATTAATGGATTTGAAGAGAATAAAGGAAAATGCAGAGTTGAGAGGAAATGAGAGCTCGACTATCTAATTTTGAAAAAGCGAGAAGATTAATTTATTAATGAACAACAGTCGAGTATTTATACAAGAAGGCTAACTAATAAATTTAACCCTAACATTGTAAATAATTACAATTTTACTTGTTGATATGCTTTAGAGAAAATAAAATTTACCATGTTCTTTTTGTGAATAACCTCTGTTCAAATTTCAGTTTAAGTTGAAAAATTAATGAATTTGAAACGACAAGAGCTAAATATAGAGTTTAGAGAAAAGGATAGTTCCACTCTCCAAATTTGAAAACTGATAAGATTGATTTATTAAAGAACAACGGTTAGGTATCTTTACAAGAAAGCTAAATTACAAATTTAACCTTAAAATTGCATTTAAAATTTTACTTGATGGCCTCCGTAAGTGGAAATAATATTTACCATGTTAATTTTGTGAATAATCTACATTCAAATTTCAGTTTAAGCTGAAAAATTAATGAATTTGAAGAGAAAAGAGGAAAATGTAGAGTTGAGAGCAAATGAGAGCTCAACTCTCTAGATTTGAAAAATAAGAAGATTGATTTATTAATGAACAAATATTATGTATCTATACGAGAAAGTTAAATTATAAATTTAACCCTAATATTATAGATAATTATAATTTTACCCCAAAATATTTATTTTAGTAGCTCCCCTTAAAGCTGGAGTATACAAATTTTGTATACCAAGCTTCACAATAAATTTTCGAAATTAAGAAGAGGGAAACACCTTCATGAAACAATCTACAAGTTGATATGAAGAAAAAATTAGGAATAATCAAATGAGATCTTTTGAAATCTTTTGTCAAACGAATCG